AAATTTTATGGCCACCGCAGTTTGAATTTCCTATAATATTCCCATGTTGCAAAATCTTTTTCCTCACAACTATATTGAAGTGAAAAGCAAACCCAGGTGAGGGTGAGTGGATTTGGCCCACAAACCACGGTAGGCGACACCTGCTGTGGAGCAGCAGCCTGTATGACCACCATGGAACTGACACAGACCTGCTGAATGAATGAATGAGCAGACACTTGTAGTACGCAGCAGTCTTTGCTGGTAATTCTGGAAAGAGTAGGAAATAATGTACCTGGTAGAGGAGGGTTAGTTATACTTGGTCTGGATTCTCAACTCTGTGTGATGCCAGATAACCATCATCTGAAATAACAATTCTAGGCTATTGAAACTTCTCAAGTCCCCCTTTCTTCCTCTTTCCTGTGAACGCTGTCCTGCTTCTAAGTCTCTGTGGCTTCTTCCCTTTTCTATGGTGTAACTCTCATGTGTTTGCTATTGTAGGACTTAAAAAGGCTGACCAAGGAACTCACTCACCCACTGTGCTTATTTTTTTTCCTTTCATTGACTTCTTCTATCATGACACTTGGTGGTGGTAACTTACTAACACCTATAAAATAAGCAAGCAGAAAATGTGAATTAACTTTAGGTCTACATGTTTGTTTGTCGATAAAATGTTTTACTTTTGCTCATTTTTTATTTCTGTACTCTGCGTGAACTGGTGGCATGCTCCTGGCATTAATGTTATGAACTGAAGGGATAAATGTCTGATCATGTCACTAATTTACTTGATATGACATAATCACACAACTGGTTTGTTTCAATTTTATCACTGAGATGACTGAACGTTTAAATTTTAGATGAACCATTTGAGTCAATCAAAATAACATACACAACTTATAATTTTCAAAGCCTGATTTATCATTCTTCTGGTGATAGTACAATTAATTTTTACTAAATAATTCTAATTCAATGAATTCAGAGAACAATAGTGTGGATCATCTTTTTAAAGACATTCATTTTAAATAAGAACGGAATAATAGTCTTGAAATTTCCAGTATCCGAAGTCACATGACAAACCAAAACATATACCCTGCTATTTCTCATCTATTTACCTTTCAGGACTTGAACAACCCATCGAGCTTGTATTTCTCCTGTGCACAGTACGGAGATCAAGGGTTTGATGAGGCCAATAACAGCCATTGTTGGTTTTTTCAGATGTGTTGGAAAGATATACTTGTACAATGATGCCTGGCCATCTTCAACTTTTACCACCGAGTCATCCAGGAAGGGGAAATGAAAGGTGTATCCAGTGGCAAAAACAATGATATCAATGGGTTCTTCTTTTGGGGTGTTGTTAAATATGACAGAATTTTCCTTCACTTCCTTTATGCTTGGCTTGATCAGTACTTTTCCAGTGATGATACGGCCTGGGAGCTCATCATTTATCACAGGCTCTCTTGG